CAGACATTCAGATACTGATTTGATTTTCCCCTTATGTTCTCTCTTGTCTCTCCCTTATCCCTGCTATAACAGCCCATGCACCTCCAGACTCCAACCCTTCTCCCAGGTCTCCATGTTTTGGACTTACCTGTGGACTTTTGTCACTTGCCCCCCCGTGAAAACTAATTTAAAGCCCTCCTCACTAGGTTAGCCAGTCTGTATCCAAATATGCTCTCCCCTTTCCTCGATAGATGGACCCCATCTTTGCTTAGCAGTCTTTCTTCCCAGAACAGCATCCCATGACATTTTGTCAGGTGTCCTTTTATTGCACCTTAAATTTCTCATGCTTCAATTCTTGGCACCTGGTCATGGTAACTGGGGCACATGCTGGAGAGATGAGCAGGGCAGAGGACTCTTCTTCAAAGATTGTACAGCCACTCCATGAAGGTACTTCAGCCCAATCACTGCAGTAGTTTGTAGGTGACACTTCTGTTGAGGGAGGAATTGGAGGATCTGTGGCTCATACTCCACCCCCTCACTGTCTCCTACACATTGCCAGACAAGGGACTGTACACAGGAGGGTTTCGCTCCCCCACATCTGGCCCATCAAGCCAACCCCCATTGCAAAGCACAATTGCTCTGACTGAGCTACACAGGAGGAAACAAGCGTTGCCTCTTAAAGAACATTTTTGTTTGGAGCCACAGATGATAATACTAAGCAGCAACTTATTGATGATGCACTGTTTATTATTAACTCAAAATTATAGCTAGATGAATAAGTAATTTTGGATATAAAACCTGAACCTCTGCTAATCTTCAGAACTGAGAAGTTATTTATTAATACTTATTTATTAATAGAGGCCCCAACTGAGATCAAGACCCCATTGTGCCAAGAACAGTAAGAGAAAGGGGTGGGAACAGAGGCAGATTAAGAATAACTGGGGCCTGGGCACAAAGAACATTTGGGTCTCCCAGGCTCCCTTAAAAACACAAATATACCAAAATGCATTAATACAAAGACTCCATGCATGCCCTTAAAGTTTCATATTCCTTTTAAAGAGATTACATGTTATTATTTTGATTCTGTCACTTGTATCCCATCAAAGGTCCTTTTCACCACCATCTATTGAACTGAGAGTCATTTAGGAAACTAATTACAGCCAGACTTTGCGTATCATTCCCAGTAACATCTGTACATAGCAATGGACAAACTGTACTACATTTAATAAACTGTAAATGTCTCTCTTTTAAGTACTCATTACACTTACCTTTTGATAACACAATCACATTATGTAACCTAGACTACAAACAGCACAAACATGATATCATATGGGGGTTCAGAAGGGAGAGAGGAGGATGTGCAGGGGATAGAGGGGGCAGGAGGAGGTTGTTAGAGAATTGGAGAATATGAAGCAGTAGCAAGGTCATGGGGGTTCTGCAGGGCAAGAGGAAGACTGGGGAGTGTGCTGAGGAATGTGGAGGGAAGGTAGTAAACAAGGGGGGATTGGGGAGCTTGGTGTGGGAGAAGACAGAGGAGAATGCAAGAGAATGTGGGTCCAGAACAGGAGCTGAGAAGGGCAGGGGAGAAGGAGTAGGAATGGGAGGGGGAAGGGAGCACAGGTGAGTGCAGAGGGTAGGTGAGGGACAGGAACATCTGATGGAGTAAAGAGGGAGAATGTGAGAGGTTGGCAGTGGGAGGGGCCCAAGGCAATGAGAAGAGTGGGGCTAGAATGGCAGCTCCCCATCCCTGGGGGCTAGGGGAGAACAAGTCACATCACCCCTGCCAGGACCAGCAGAAGGAGACGTGCTGAGGGGTACACGCCAAGTGGAATTTAAATCTCACAGATCAACCCACACGGAGTATTTATCGAATCCCACAAGTTGTAAACCAAGTTCAGGATTTGGGATTGGCAAAGGGCCGAGGGTGGTAACAGGAACAAGCCACCAGCCTCCCCCTGCCAGCCATCCAGCTTTGCTACAGACACTGTACTCTGTATCTGCCTCGGCTTCCCCCAGCCCCAGGCTCCACTGGAGCCCCTTCCGGGCACCGCCACATTCTGGGCTCCAGGTTTTCTCCGCCTTCCCGACCCAGCTCCACTCTGGACTCTCCTCTCCAGCTTTCCCCTGCCTCCCATCTTGCCTGGTCCTGCCACGCAGCTCCGGTTTCAACCACTGATCTAAGGATGCCCAAGACAGAAATGCCCAGTTCCCAACAAGTTCTTCAGCTAGTAAGGAGATTTGCAGGTGGGAAGTGAAGATCTTGCAAACCTCTCCAAAGATGTGGCTAATTTTGATAAAGTTTCAGATGGGCATTCGAGATTGTGCAGTCTGATCCAGTATGAAACCATACTGGCATCAGTTAACTATAGGTACCAAAACAGAGGCTGGTTTTAAAAGTTTGCCCTAGAACTGTGGAATCACCAGTTTTCCTGATCCCATGATTTTTCCAGTATGGCATCCCATGACCTCTTCGAGAATTAAGTCTTTCACTAACAGTTCAATTCTCTAGCCCTTTGTCCCACTTCAGTGTTACTCTGAGTTCCTGCTCATCATGCAGACTACAGTTACAGTTTAACCAAGTAGTGACATTTGTTCAGATGATTACCTACCCATCAACTTGCCACCAGCGAAACAAACAAGGAAACAGAGATGCCAAAAGCCATGGTTCTTTTTTATTTTAAAAAGCATGAAAATCATGGGATCCATGCATCCTGTAACAGTGACAAGTCCAGCCTTGTTGATTTTAGATACAGCTCACAATCTGAGTCTCTTCGGTTAATTAACAATTCCCATATTTAAATTACAGTTTATAAACCCACAAAGAGTTTTAGATGTCTGTTGTACTAATTCACACCTAGATAAAATAGCGAACACATTCGATGTGAATGAGATGACAGTTCATGCCATAACAGAGATTACTGCTTAATTAAGAAAAAAAAAGACAGACTAGGGAAAAGAATACACAGGGAATTAGTGATGGGTTATGGACTCTTTCGCCTCCAGTTCAATGGTACATATCTAACAGGGGCAAGGGAGTCTGGAGTTAATACTCTGATCACTCTTCAATAGCATATGTCAAATATATTGGTGGTCTCAGACTAGTTCCCAGTGGGCAGGTGTACTAAAAAGCACCACCATAACTGACAATAATTTGGACCTTTGGAGGCAGTCTCAGCATGAGGTCAAGTATTGGTAGGGACCTGCAGACTGAACTAATAGTACTACTACACTCTTTATCCTTGTATCTTAAAGAGGGCAGAAAATTGTTTTAAATAGGAAGAAAACAGATGCGGAGGTGAAAGTGACTTGCCCAGCAGGTTGGTGGCACAGCTAGCAATACTGGCCAGATAGTCCATGCCAGATATCCAATGCCCTAGCCTCTGCTGGACCTGTTTGAAGAATAAGACCTGACTCTCCAGTACTCAGAATTCAGCACCTTTGGTGAGCACTGTGTTCCACACAACAAAATGTGTTGACAAATGTTGAAATCATCTGTTGCAAAAACCTCAAAAAGCATGTGACTGCTATGTGCCTAGACATTCAGTGTTGGCTAAGGCACTGTGTCCATCTGTTCCCAACCAAAAGTAATATCCTACTATGCAGCCATGAAAATAAAGAGCCTGATCAGGGAGTGAATGTGATTTAAGTTTCCCATTGCTATCCAGCATATTCTGACTCCTTGCATATCCATTAATTCACAATAACTTCCTGCTGCTGTCTTCTAAAAAATGATTATGCTAATCACCATAGATGCTCAGACACTGTGGTGATGGGGAATATGATAGGAACCTAGATAGATGGAGAGACAGGCTTGTGTTGATAATGACACATGGTGTAATTTCAACAGCTGGTCATGAGGAACAGTTGCTCCAGCTATAGACTTCAATATTTACGTCTGTAAATTTCTAATAAGATGAGGGTGAACCCAAATAGAAGCAGTTCTCTTTACTTTTCACCATATGCTCTTTTTAAAGGTATTTTTTATTCATCTTTTGGTTGGTGCTGTTTAATTTGTACATTTCGTGTGTCAGTCCTTACTCCACTTTTCTGGGTAGCTAAAATATAAAATGAAACACTTATCACAGCTGAGCACATCTGTGTAACACTACACATCTAGCTGCAGAATATAGTTCATGAAATATGTTCTACATCAGATGGCTTAATTGGGAGCTCCACCACGGACAATGTTGCTCTTTTTTATATTATTTCCTCCACCCCTTCCCCAGCCTTCATTGTTCACCTTCTCTGTTCTTACCTACAGCGGGGCCATTTAGGGCACTGATTGTTTTTTGTTTTAAAACAAAAAACAGACAGAAATTATAAAATCTCTTGAAGTTTACAAAGGAATCTTTTCTAATTGCACAAAATAGGAAAACATGTTGACCACTAACATTTCCAGATTTTTTTAAAAAAAGAAATCTATAGGAACACCCCCAATATAGTCATTACCGATTGTATAATGGTATACACCAAGTTCTGAGAGGTTCTGTGCATCTACAGTGGAAGCTGCAGATACACAGCATCTCTCCGAGTGGGCATCTCTCCTTATTTACTGAATCTTCTTTTCAGGGAATTTTTGAAACATATCACTAAAATGTCCCTTGTATCCATTTCCTTTATAAACTATAACCCAGATTAACCCAGGAAAGGAGGTAGGAGGGGGAAAATAGTTTCCACTGACTTTCCAAACAAATATCTATGAATGTGTTTAATGTATTTTAAGTAGCAAAACTAAAAAATGAATTCACTCTGACACACGCATACACCCCAATCCCCCTCTCCTGGGCTAGCTCCTCTAAAGGAACATTCTGCAGTGAACATGTTTCACCTAGACACATATATTCTTTAAACAGAACAGATGTCCATAGCTTTCAAAGTGGAATGAGGCAAGTTGTGCCTGGCGCAGGATTGGAGGCATTTGGATGGCACATCTTATTGTTTTAGTTTGCAACTTGAGCCAATATACTGTGGGAGCTCAGTGTAGGTCAGTGACCCACCAAGAGGAGCCGCTGGGCAGCAGGTCAGATTACAACACTCACTGTCATGCTTTACCTATAAGGAGCCACTTTTCTGTGCCAGACCAATAACTTCTTTAGCTCCTCCCTAAAGCTATCATGCAGCCAGGCATATATGAAGGGATTGTAGCAGGCAGAGCTCATAGCTAACCAGTGGCACAGCAGCTGGACAAGGCTAAAATAATAGGCATCCATGGCATTAATGTTGATGTCCCGGATGAGGTTGAAGGTATGCAAGGGCAGCCAGCACACCCCAAAGACCACCCCCACTACAACCAGCAGGGTGCCTGGCTCTGTCCCAGTTGGCTTGAATCTGAGTGATAGTACCAGGCATGACCCTGTTCTTGAGCTTGAGGGAGAACTTGGTGTAGGAGACCAGGATGGCTAGCAGGGGGCAGAGGTAGGTGATAAGCAGCAGGAAGAGCGCATAGGTCTGACGCTGGTGCTCTTGTTCCCCCCAGAACTCCTTGCACAGAGTGATCTCCTGCTGGCCGAGTTCCACGTAGTAGGTGTGAGCCATGGCTGGCAGTGCCAGGCAGCCAGAGAGGATCCAGATGAAGAGCACCACGTAGGCACCCAGCTGGAGTGAGATGCGGCGCCGCAGTGGATGCACAATGACAATGTAACGGTCCACAACAACGGTGGCCAGAGTGAAGACAGACACGTAGACGGTGACAGGCTGCATGAAGAAGATGAAGTAGCACATGGTGCTGCCGAAGATCCAGCCGCGGGGCTCGAAGATGTAGGCCAGGGTGAGTGGGATACAGGTGGCGCACATGGCCACGTCTGACCCGGCCAGGTTCCCAATCAGGAAGTTGGTGACATTGTGCATCTTCTTCACCTGCGCAATGACATGCACCAGCAAGCAGTTCCCCACCATGCCCACCACCTCCACGGCTGCGTACAGCAAGATGATCGGCGCCTTCAGCTGGTGCACCAGCTGCAAGCTCTGGAACAGTACCAACGTCCCGTTGGTGGGGGTGAGTGCAGACTGGCTCTGGTTGTGGTGAGCAGAGAAATCAGCCATCTTTTCCTAGAGGGCAAGGAAACGGGAAAATTAGTGACACCTCTACCCCCTATGGGCACTAGTTGCACCTCCTCCTCCACTCCCCCAACAGGCCCTAGTGGTGCCTCTTCTTCCAATCCTACCACAGGTACTAGTGGCATCTCCACACACATACCCTAGGGGCATTTATGGCCCCTCCACCCTTACACCACCTACATGGGCACATGTGCAGTTCAACCCTCCCATCAGTGGAGAATAAGATTACAGTGAAAACACCTGGAGGAAGATACTCATGGCCATCCTTTCTAGAAACACCCCTGCTCCCAGGGACACGTGAAGTGAAAACCTCCCCTGAGCGCTAAGGATTGCCGTGCAAACACATCCACGAAAAACATAAGAGGCCACCAGAATGAGTGACACCCTTTGCTTGCAGACACACTTCCCGCTTATATCCCTACCCTGTCGGAAACTCAAGCAAAGAGAAAAAGCACCCAGATGATGCTATAAATGGCCACGAGGCAGACATCTACCCACAGACAGGCATGCAATGGCATCTCCACCGGGGACAGAGATTGCAATGAAAAGCACATGGAGTAAGGTAATAAAGTATAATCAGATACATCATAAATTAATAATCCATCATTACAATACATGATGCAACAAGCAATAAAGTACTATTCAAAAAAAGCAAGTGGATGAAGGATTACCCGAATTAGGGACACACCTCTCTCTCTCTCCACAGAGGCGTGTGAAAAATCCCCAGCCACCGGAGAATAAAGTTGTAAAGACACCTGGAGGAAGATCTAAATGACCCTCGCCACTAGCGACACACGGATCTCCAGACACACGTGCAAATAGAGCCCCATTGGCACGGCACGAGGGGAAAGCAAAGCGAGTGAGATCGACCATTAACAAAGGCGGCGGGAAGGGAATTGTTCAGCCCCTCGAGGCTTTTCCTACCTTTAGTCAGGTAACCTGGCCGCCTGTTTAATTAAGTGCCATGGGAAACGGAGCTGGCCCCAGAATCATTGGCTCCCCCCCCCCCCACAGTGTGAACCCAGCGCCTGCGATCGAGCAGGATGATCCGCTGCTGGGAAGAGTTTCAGAGCCAGGAATTGGCTTTATTCGCGTGCCCCAGCGCCTCCCTCCCCTCCTCTCTCAGTGTGAAGGGGATCGGTCATTGGCGGCTGCGCTGTGCCCGTCCCCAACTCCTTCGCAAGCCGGCAGAGTCCAGCAAAACTCTCAGCCCGGGCTCCAGGCCCGCGGGCTCCCTGCCCAGCGCCCCGCCCTCAGGGCGGAGAAGAGGGGTGCAGTGCCAGCATTGCCGCGCCCCTCAGGGGGGCTAACCCCGGGGCAGTTCCTAGGCGTGTGACTCGGGTATAAACTGTTGCGCCGGGGGAGGTGATGCTGCAGGGACTGGGCTGCAGCACCGCTCGGCGCCGGGAGCCGGCTAGAAAGGGGAGCTCTCCAGGGTGCTGAAGCCAGACACGTGTTACTGCGGCTTAGCACATCAGAGAGCCCCTCGGAGAGCGCTGCGGCGGGTCCGCCGGTGGCGGGGGTATTAGCTCCCAGCGGCGCTGCCAATGAAACAATGCACCATGGTAAAACCAAGCGGCGCCTTTCCCTTCTGGATGAAGGCACAGGAGGCTTTTAGAAGAGCAGAGACCTGAGTCAACAGAGAAAAGATAGAGGGTGCCTCTCTTCTAATGGCTAACTGCAGGGTGCCATGTACTAAGTTAATACATCAAAAGGAGGATTAACACGGAAGCAGATGAAATTGAAAAGGAAAATGATCAATGAAATGTTAAGAAAGGAGACAATTTCAATCTAGTTCATGAGGGGAAACAGAGTTCTGTCTTACCATTCAATTAGTAGTAGTGGTAACTCTTGTATTAGCACCCAGAGACACCCCACCCAGGAAAAATGGGGCCCCATTGTGTTAACAGCTGATAATAACAAGCACATAGCACAAGCGTCCTGTACATTCAGATGTTGATGCTGGCCTTTGAATTCAAGGCAGACAGCTTAAACCAAAATGATTTAGGGCCAGGAAAGAAATTCTTCCTCCTGAAAATTCTAAAGCCTGAAAGTGTCAGTGCAAGATGAATTTTCCAGCCTAAAAATTTGAGGCTCTTCAGAGGGAACCATGGCAATGCTTTGCTGGGAGGTGCCCAATGACCACAGAAGGACTTTCACAGGACTAAAGAACCACCTCACACAGCATCCATTTCCATTCCAAGGGCAAGGTTCACTTTTTGACTTTACCATCACCAATACAAAAACATAGCACATCATATATACATAATAATAAACATTCACAACAAAACAAACCCACATGCGTGTCGCCCCCCCCCCCCAGAGGCAGAAGGAAAGAACATGTGACACGTGCTAACCATGTCAGCAAATGCTCTACTGAAAAGTCCTTAGATTCATAGTATCAGAGGGGTAGCTGTGTTAGTCTGGATCTGTAAAAGCAGCAAAGAGTCCTGTGGCACCTTATAGACTAACAGACATATTGGAGCATGAGCTTTCATGGGTGAATACCCACTTCATCGGATGCTTTCTTAGATTCATAGTGACTCTTCTGAAGAGAACAGAATGGGATAGAATATGTTGCAAGGCCCCTCACCATGTTTTATACTGGCCTGGCCATCTTACATTAAATATCCTTTTGTGGGTTTTTACGGGGCTATGAGACAAATTAACATTTGTCAAAAAGAAAAAAAAATCCATCAACATAATTCCAGCTATGCTTGGCTGTTATATAAATACAAAACTTTGTCAATTGAACTCTAAACCAATAAAAACTTGCCCTAGAACAGTGAAAAGTATTTCATGTAAAGCAGTCATCTTGGGAAGATTCATCTAATTTTATTATAGTTTGTATAATCGAGACAGGAAAACAACCTTTAAATCATTTATACTTCCCCACCCTCAGGAAAACTGAATTTTGAAAGATAAAGACTGATCTTTGAAATTCCACATTCAGGAACAGAGACATTAAGTTACTTTCAATGAGTATTGCTTTAAAAAAAAACCTTAAACATGTGCATAACTTTAATCGCATGACATTCAGGGCACACATGCTTAAGTGCTTTGCTGGATCAAGGCCATAATTATATGGAACACCACCACAGTTCAGCCATGCTGGCAACTTTAGGCTAATTAAGAAATTGTAAGCAGATATTTTAGGAGATTTCTATAGCTTTCTAAAAATATGTGTTCTTAAATGTTCATGATCTATAATTTTAGCAGAATTTAGGAAACGGTTGTTAACAAAGGCTTCTATTTGGTCAAAATTCCCAGCTGTCAGGTGTGTCAGATGACTTAACAACTCATAATTCCTATGATTCAAATTCTCACCAGTCAGTCATTTTTGGCTAGAAAATTAGCATTTTAACTATACCACTAACAAAATACAGTATATTAATATAATGCCTCATGCTTTAACTAATGGGGATTAGGAGGAAACTTTTGCTACAGACAGGTTATCCCATAAAGGTATTCTGCAGGGTTTCTTGCACTTTCCTTTGAAGAATCTGCTACAGGCCACTGTTGGAGACTGGACAGTGGAATAGATAGATCTTGGCTCTGATGCAGTCTGGCAATTCCTGTGGTCTTTCAGAATTAACACAAAATCCTGACTCCAGTAGAGTCAATGGCAAAACTCCCATTGATTTCAATAGAACCAGGATTTCACCCCAGAATTTTCCAAAGAAGATCAACATTTGCTATCACGTTTATCCAACCTCCACAAATTTTCCAATTCCTGATTACATTGTGGGATATTTTGGATAAACAGTTGTGTCCTTATGACAGATGCTATAGACACATGGAATATCAAAGACTGTTGCATCAGCTTTATAAGTGTTATATGCAGGAGCGCCGCCAGCTTTTCTGCCGCCCTAGGTGGCGGAAAGTCCCGCCCCGAAATGCCGCCCCCCACAGAGGCGGCGGAAGGTCCCGCCGCCGAAATACCCCACGGTCGCCGCCCCCCAAATTGTAGCACCCTAGGCGACCGCCTAGGTCGCCTAATGGGTTGCACCAGCCCTGATTATATGTCTCATTGTGGGTGAGGGATTGTACTCTGGCTCCATGGAGGATTTACAGGGTTTTCTGCAGGAACTAAAATTCCTAGGTAGGTAACATGTCAGGAGAAGTCTAGGGAAGTTGTATATATAATTTGACCTGGAGGCCTGGAAAAGAACTGAAAACTGTATAAAGTGATCACCCTGACAGAGGGAGAGAGGTCACTCTCCTCTGATCCAAGAAATGACATGAGACTGTGACCAAGAGGGATAAGCCCTGCGAGAGGGCTTGAAGTACTTTGAAACCTGCCAAAGTAACCATGTAGAAGCTGGGTGATACCCGCTAAGCTAAACATGCATAGAAGCTGTTCATTGTTTTTAAACTATATTTCCTCAGCAGTCTAAATAAACAGTACTTTGCTTTATGAAAGCTGGCTGGTCACTGATTAACCCTGTCACTGCCCGTAGGAGAACAGGATTGCAGGTGCTGAACTAAAAGACTGCCTGCTGAGGTGATTACATTGAATTGCAGGAGACTGCAGGATCCCACTCCAAGCACGATGATTAGCAGAGGCCTGAAATATATGTGGGGTGCTCTCAAGGAGGCTATGAAGAGGTCAGAGGTGCAGCTAACTTGGGGGCAGTGGCAGTCCTCAATCTCATCTTTTATTCCTATTTCCCTTCCATTACAGTGTCCAATTTCCTCTAATGACTGCACTGCACAGGCTTATTGGCTGCAGTGAAGTGGTGTGAGGTTAAAGTAATTCCAGCTTCTAATTATCACATGACCATAAATAGGAAGCAGAGAACAAAAGAGGGGTTATTGTGGGGGAAAGAAGAGTGTAAATTTTAAAAGATTTTAACTCAGAAATTAAGGTACACTGAACTTCATTCCTCTTTGCTGTTCCATTCTATTCTATATAGGTTGTTATACCGCATTCACACCGCATTAAGCCATGTGACTAGACATCTGTCGTTTCTTCTCTATTCCTC